CATTCAAATTATTTGTACCTTGGTTGTTTGGCAGAATTGGTTTATTAGACTAGAGTGTTTTGATTTTTCTTTTGCAAATAGATTTTTTTTTTTTGAGTTGGAGTCTCACTCTGTCGCCCAGACTGGAGTGCAGTGGCCGCTCCCAGCCACCACAGCCTCGACCTGCTGGGCTCCGGTGATCCTTCCACCTCAGTCTTCCAATAGCTGGAACTATAGGTGCGTGCTACCACACCCAACTAATTTTTGCTTTATTGTAGAGATGAGGTCTCGCCAAGTTGCCCAGGTGGGTCTCAAACCCGCGGGCTCAGGCAATTTACTCACCTCAGCCTCCCAAAGGCACGGGATTACAAGCTGAGCCATCGAGCCCGGCTACAAATAGATTTTTAACTACTGATTTTATTTTCATGGTTACAGAACTATAAAGTCTTTCTATTTCTACATGAGTCAGTTTTGTTATATTATTTAGAAAGTTTTCTGTTTGGCAATGTTTTCAGAATTATAACCATAAAGTTGTGGACAACATCCTCTATATTTTCTTCATCTCTGTAATAGCTATAGTTATCTCTCCTTTTCTATTTCTTTTTTTTTTTTTTTTTGAGTTGAAGTCTCACTCTGTTGCCCAGACTGGAGTGCAGTGGCACGCTCCCGGCCACCGCAGTCTCAACCTGCTGGGCTCTGGCGATCCTTTCACCTCAGCCTTCCAAGTAGCTGGAATTACAGGCGCGCACTACCACACCCAGCTAATTTTTTGATTTATTTTAGAGATGAGGTCTCACCAAGTTGCCCAGGTGGGTCTCAAACCCGCAGGCTCAGGCAATCCACTCACCTCAGCCTCCCAAAGCGTGGGATACAGGCTGAGCTACCAAGCCCAGCTTGCTTTTCTATTTCTATTACTGCTTATTTGTGCATTCTTTTTTTTCTTTATCAATCTTAGCATGTATTATTTCATTAATTTCTGCTTTTGTTTTTGTTATTTCCTTCCTTCCTTCTTTCTTTGCTATTTCTTTTCCTACTGTTCTTTTCTCACTTAAGTTGTATATTTATCTTATTAATTTCAGCTTTCTTTTCTTTTTTTAAAAATATGAATATATAAGGTTATGGTTTCCAGTTAAGTGCCACTATAGTTGGATTCTACAAGTTTTGATATATAATTTTTTTATTCATTTACAAATATTTTCTAATTTCTACTAAGTTTTGTTTAACCTTTGAGTTATTTAAAATACTTGTTTTCGAAAAAGTGCTTGGCCTTACTAGTCATCAGAGAAATGCAAATCAAAACCACAATAAGATACCACCTAACCCCAGTAAGAATGACCATCATTAATAAAACAAACAACAACAGATGCAGGCGAAGATGTGGAGAAAAAGGAACGCTTCTACACTGCTGGTGGGAATGCAAACTAGTATAACCTCTTTGGAAGACAGTGTGGTGATTTCTGAAAGAACTAGAAA